GTGTTTCCACCTCATTCTTTTTGCCTTTTTTTTGTATTAGCACCCATCAGCTTCCAACTAATATTGAAGTTGCCTGTCCTCATTGAACTCTAATTGCTTCCTTTTATCTACTCAGTTCTTTATTTCATTCATTCTTTAGAATCTGCTTTTGCTGCATCAGTTTTGCCACCAAACAAACCAGTGAAAAGCCCATTTGCACAGAAGTGTCCCTTTAGGTAGACAGACAGCAGCTCTAAGCTACAGACACGATGCTTACAGTATCACTCGTCTCATGATTTAAGCTTTTCTTGGAAAATCATAGAAATAGTTTTTACATTTTGCAACAGTAAACCTGAAAAACATGCAGTGCCATCTTGAAAATTTCAGGATTTATTCTGTTTCCACACACCCCTGTCCTGTTGATTTCAGTATCCACATTCCCTGAAAACTTAGCAGATAGGACAAACATCAGTAAGATGTATATGCTTAAAGTGCTTCCTGCACTAAGGAACGGGGCAGGGAAATGCAGAGACACACTGCTCTTCAGAGAACACCAATATCAACCTGTCCTACGAGCCAGCACCACACTGGCAGCATTTGATTGTTACCCCGTAACAGTCAGCACAGCAGCTTAGGCATTAGACAGGGTTTATTTATCCCCTGCAGAAACCAAGAAATGTTATTTCTAGACTTGGCACAGTATCCTAGGTAGGAGGGACTAAAAAACTTCACGGCAGATACTGAACCTTTCATCATCTGTATCTGTGCCTTCTCTGTCCCTTTCCAGCTCTTTCAGCTTCCAGTTTCTGCGACGCTGGCGTTTGGTACGGTCATAGCTCTTCTTTATTAATACCTACAGTGAAGAACAGCAAGTCTTTATACATGCACACTGTCCATACAACTGATGACATGCTTTCAAAACCCCAAATTCCACCCAAGTCGAGATTTGGGCAACCGTAAAACCAGCTCAATGGTAGTTAAGTCTGGTAGTCTGAAGTCTTACATGGAATTTATGCAGCATTTGTCAATTCTAAAGTTTCCAAAAGCTTTGGATTATGACCTGAAGAGACACACACACCCTGGAGTTGGAATACAGTTTTCACTACACAGTGCATGGTAATTTGAACAAAACCAACAAAGAGTAAGGTAAGTTAATACGTTATTTAACCACCACTCAAATCCAGGTAGTGAGAAAATAATTTTCGAAATGAGATGCTATTCCAGTTTCAGTATTAGTAGCTCCACTTCTTTGGCAGTGTGGAACTAGTGAGTATTCATTATAAAATCATATTCCCCAACAGCTCTGGGTAACGCAGGGAACTTTGTACAGAGAAAGAAAATGGTCTTACCACATCAGGAATATTGTGCGGGTTCATCTTATTGGCAAACTCATCATTTAAGTTGCAGTTTGCCAAGTCGAACCTAAAATGAAAACAGGTATTTCATCCTACCCTTTCATGTAAGTCTACAAAATGGAACTCGATGTATCCTATGTTTGAATTAAGTAAGTTACAGCTTCTAAGTAAGATAAATGTTTCCAAATTAAGTACAGAGCAAATAAAAACATCCACATCAATATGCAGCTCTAAATAACTCTTTGAAGCTGCTGTTCCCAAATTCTGTTCAGTAGCACTTCCCAGCTTCCTGAACGCAAACAGCAATATCCACTGAGGTTCTGTTGGGTGCACAACAGCTTCAGTAACATTCGTGTTTAAGCCTGTTTGAGAATCACCTGATTTGCCTCATCTTACAAAAATTTCACATTTGTCACTGCTGCATATGATAGTCACTACCAAACAAATAGCTCTTGACTGGTATTTTAAAAATCCTGCCCATCTACTTGTGTCTAAACTGTTATTCCAGTCTGTACTTTAAAGTCAGTACTTCAGCTCTTATTACTAACAGCCCTTTTCACATGACAACTTCTGCTAGAAAAAAGATTTGCTCTGTTAGGACCATCTCTTCATGGCCAAGATGAACAATTCTATCCTGTTTGCTGATCTCATTTAGAAATCATCAAAGTTTTGATCTGTTCTAATACATAAGCCTGTAGACAATACAGAGAATTCAGTCCTTAAATAATTTTTAATAAAAAACAAGAAACAGAACAGACCCCAAGACAAGGTCGCCGGGATTCAGAATGTGCCCCAGGTGAGTACAGCAGAAATACTGATGATCTGTGTTCAACTCCGAGGTTTTCTGTACCCAGGCTTCAGCCAGTGTGTGCTTGGGGAATGAAAAGTAAAACACTCTTGTAATCAAATGCAGCTTAACTGGCTGTGCTATTACAACATTCGTACTGTTATATTACTCTTTTAAATTATATTTGTAATTAAACTTGTATTTCAATGTATTGCTTGCTATTCCTCATTTCTCATCTTTACAGAAGGAAATGGACATGCCAACCACTTTTCACAAGAATTCACTAAGGCTGTTTCTCTAACTCGATGGGTCTTCTAGTGGTTTTTATTTTACTTTGTAACTTTCAATCACGTACAGCTTTTGACTGAGAAGAAAATGTTTGGTACCGATTCATTAATTCTGATTTAAAAGAAATGCTTATATACTTCAACAAAAGCAATTCAATAATCGAAGAGTTGCACAGCTAATATAAAACATTTCAATGAGGACAGTCACAAGTAGAGTTTAAACGCTTTCAAGAGGAAAGAATTTCTGAAAGTGGAATTCATGTCGTGCCTGTGCAACTGCCAAACCAAAATGCTGTCTACATCTTCCTGAGAAGAGCTTTTGCCAGTGGCAAGACATAAAAGCAAACATTTGACTTTGTAAGGTGGGATGTTTCAAAACAGAAGTTCATCTGAGTAGGAGAGGAAGGGGAGAGGAAGGCCCTTGAATGGAACTAAGTAGAGAGGAACTCTTACCCTGTTTGATCTTGCCCCTGCCCCGGCACCTTTTTTCCTTTCTGGAACCCTGTTGATATCCATAATGATAAATTCCTCTAGCTGTTTGGGGTGGAACAAGCTATTGAAAGGGTGGCGCCAGTAGGTATTCCCATCAATTTCAGCAACTGGAAAAAAACCACACAAGCATGAGCAATAACAAGGGAAAGAATTTCTTGTCAAGAAATAAAACGAAGCATTAGCCAAAATTAAGGCAACTTCCATACTCATTTTGTTCAAGTTTGTTATTGTGACACAAGTATTTAGGACGTGACTCAAACTGCAAACTCATTCTACAAGAGCAGTTGATCTGTGACAGCCAAATCATGTATCACATGTCTGAAGCACAGATCTTTCTATTCACAAGCACCATTCTCCGGGATGCATCATTATTTAGAGGTATTTTGCTGGTAGAGCTTACCAGCAAATACCAATCAAAGCATGGTGCTTTTGGTACCGAAGTGGCTAGAATCATAATCCAGAGAAAAACTAGATGCTATCTAATTTTAGATGAATATACCTGATCAATGTAGGTGTTTAGCAGAGACCTAGGACATCGATGAACTTAACAGTGAGCCTACACATTTTGCCTAGGATGCTATGGAAATCAAGCTTGAAGAACTATGTCTTAATTTGCTATTAAATTTCTGCATCAGTGAGTGTACAGATAAATTTACAACATTAAGACATAACATACAAAGATTTCATGAAAACAAAAAAAGAATTAAAAAACAATGGTGCCAGCAGAAAAATGAGCCCCAACTTACTCTGCAGAGTGCTGGGATCAATGAGGTGGATGGTGCTTGTTACTCTGATGCACACACAGATCTGGCTCATGTTACCAAGACTCTGCGCCAGTTTTGGTGACAGACACACAACATTGTCCTGCATACAAACAGAAAATCATTTACACTCATACTTCCTTAATTTTTAATGAAGTCTTTAGAGAAATCCAAAATAGATTTTTAAACTTCACATTTTCAGTTCTCCACCGAGTATCACCCAATAACTTCCTCAAGATAGCTGCTATCCGCACTTTCCATACTTGGTGGGGAGTAGATGCCCCCAGTCCCCCAAATATACAATAAATCAGGCCTCCATCCCCAAAAACCAAACTCTACCCACTTCATACAATACCCCAAAAATGAAATAGAGAGAAGCTACCTTGCATATTGGAACAATTTCCACGGAGAATGTGCTTTTGTAATTGTAGACATTGCTATGAATATCATGCGAGATCAAACGTTGGGATGATTTTGATCTATAAAAAAAAAACCCAACAGAGCCTTTAGGTAGCAAGAAGGACATTATTTGAAATAGGAGATAATCAGCAATGAAAGTATACAGCTACGTACTACACATCCAAAGATTAAGGAAATAGAAAAACGCATAAGGATTAGTTTTACAATGGTTAAGTGGAAAACAGGGGGCTTCTGTAGAAGGGATTTTGTCTGTTTTAACTAGGTTCCTTATATTTTCATTTACAAAATTCTTTAAAAGTGAAGGATAAAACACACTTCCCCGAAGTTTTTTGGTATTTAAGGCAATAAAAGCAAATCACATACCTAGATGGAACTGTACACTGAAGGAAGTCAACCATCTTCTGGGCATGTTGCTTTGATGAATAATAAAAATCCAGGCCATCTTGAAGAGAAGAAAGCTTGATGAACCTATTTCAAGTACTATGTTTTTTTCCAAATACATAGTCTAAGAAATCTGCTGCTTATCTGTACACAGCTACTAGCACAGGAACTCTCCTAATATAAAACAGGTTACTCTATCCTACGCCTCAAGACTAACAAGCCACTTACCATGGATTTCTTTGATGCGAAGTGTATTCTGATGAAGCCTGTGTTTTAAAATCAGCTGCTCCAAATAGTAGAAAGTCTTCTTGTGCAGAGTCTAAAACCAAGCAAAGATAAAGTTATCTAGAACCGTCCAGTACAAATGCAGTATCTCTGAAGAATAAACATTTACATGAAAAGATCATCTAGAGAAGGAACAGTCCAAAGTCCATTCCAAGTAACCAAAATAATTTCAGAGGTGTGCTCTTTATACCAAATTATTTAAAGCTTCTGTTGCTCATTTTTGTGTAACTGGTTGCAAAATATACCATTTTCTTTAAAGGAGATCTAAATGTTTATAAGCCATCTGGACCACTGTGTTGAAAGAGAGAAGGACATTTAGTAATTCACACAAGATCTTCCTGCCACCCAAAAATAATACGCTAGTAATACCAGACAGCAGATCAGTAAGAAAAAAATCCTACATGAACACAAAATGTATTGCTGTGGCTGTGTGCATGAGTACATCTTTTTCTGAGAAAACAAAAAAATTCATCCAAAGATTTGTCCGCCTGATTGTTCTGCCATGAACAAATGAAAATTCAGTTTGCCTCTACCTTTTGTCTGACTTGCACTACAGCTTTCCAGAAATCCTTAGCTTCAATCCTATGACAGTCTTCACACATTTGAGACTGAACTATATATTCCACCACAAATACTTGCTGAAGAACTGCTCCATTTATCACCTGCAAAACAAAAGTTTAAAAGGTTTCCTCATTAGTCCTGTCAAGACAGAAAGCTAGCTCACCACAGCATTCTGAAACAAACTTCCATGCTGTACTGTAACTATGTGACTGACGGCTATATTTGGATCACAAATGTTAGCAGTATTTTCTTTACTGGAACAGCAGACAGCCTTCTTCAAACTGTGATGAATGGCACTTTACTGACAAAACTGAGGCAGGATGAAATCAGTAATCTCTCAAGATAAGCCAGTAAACACATGCTGGATTTTACCAGAGAAAACAATTTATCTAAAATGCAGTAGTATTAAAAAATAAAGAAAATCATACTGTTTGTCATAAAAAACTTATAAAAAGACACAGAATACGATACTCCAGTACCTCTTTCTGAACAGTCAGTTTCAGCTTCAGCCTCTTAGAATGTGGTTCGGTCCAAATGAAGCCTGCATCAATGAGCCGGACCTGCCAGGACAGAACAAGAACTCAGCTACTGCCAGCAGCTGGACTAGTACAGTGTTAAAACCACGTGGCTCTTAACGACCACAAAACACAAGCTTATGGTACAGTTCATAGCTCCTCAACCAAGTGAGGAAGTGAATAACCCTAATTAAAAGCATCTGTATCAGCATACCAAACCTAATTACTAATGCTTAGTTAGAACAGCGAGTCTGATCTACTCGAAATAATGGTGATGCAACCTCAGACCACCACATCAGAACAACTGAAGGCGCTATTCAACAGTACCTCTGGGTGCCATGCAATGATGAATTTGGACAGCATAATGGTTTCCTCAGGACTGAAAAGCCAGTTTAATCTCTAAAACTAAGAACATGCTAATTTACTGCGGCAAAAGATATTTTATATATTTAAGTACTAATGTAGTAACAGGAAGCTCCATAAGGCAATCTAATTCAAACCTTGATGACTACAGTAACAAACTAGGGTTTTTTTGTCTAAAACACTGTCTCAGATTTTTTCCTCTGATAAGATTCTGAACCTAAAAAATAGAAACATTATTCAGCATGAGACTTTCAAGTTAGTCTCTATATAGACATTTGCAACCCTTCTTTGTACCACGGTAACCAGTAAGATCAAATATTGCAGAAACAATTTTCATGATATATAAAAAGAAAAAAATATATTAAAAATATATTAGCTTCCTTCAGTTAATTCTGCTCAGCTCCCATTTAAACAATAACAATTGTGCAGTACACTTTGAAGTCACAGAATTGCATTGCAGCAGCCTCCTCGGTATGCCTGGAAACTCCTTGATGGAGCCTGTCCTTACCGAATCCTCCAAAATTCTAGTGTGGAGTTATCTGCGATCAGATTGTCATTCTCTATGTTTAGTATAAATCAGTTAATAAGCTCTTCACAAGTACAAACAGCAGCTCTGGAAGGATCAAACTCTGTATAAATTAGCTGTCCTTCACTTTATGCAACACCAGTAGACACACTACAAAATACCAGCAGAATTCGCTACTCACCTTGCTCAGTGAACCTTTAATTTTCTTAAGACACAAAGCCAGCAGCTCTCTAGACTCCAAGGTACACTGAATCCAGGTTCCTGGAGGTTGCAGGTACCTATGGCACAGGAAGCATTTTACAGCACATGAAGCTGCTTCAGCAAATTAAATCACTTCAAAGTTAAACAATTCTTTACCAAGCTTTTTGTTTTAACATTAACTACACAGCTACAACTTCTGCCTCCCTAAGCATTAAGATTCATGCATTCAACGAGCATTCACACTTTTACCACCATCCTTATCAATCTGCCCTTTTTTTTTTCCTTCAAGGACCATAAGCCAACTCATTTAAAATCTTTTAGACCCTACATACCAACGCATTTCTACTTCCACATCAGAAGAAATACACGAACGCGCTGAAAAACACGACAACACGTCCAGCAGTGTCCCCGCTGGCCGCGCCACTTCCCAGCCGCAGCGACCC